AATTTTAATCTAATTGATATAAAAGATTAAAGATAAGGTTGAAAGACTTTAATATATTAAAAAATATATCTATATTTTATTTGAATTCTTATAATATGATATTATTTGCATATTAATTTATGAAAAACTATTTTATTTATAAAAAATTATTATTATTTCATGATACCTTATGGAAAGACTAATTTGAAGTTAAAATTTTAGATTTCTCCTAAAAAATGGAACATATAGGATAATTATAGATAAAATTATCTAATACTTACTTAAATTAAAAAAATATTAATATTTATTGAATCTACAAAAATTAATTTTTTAATTTAATTAAGGTTTGGTTCAATTTCAGACACTTGAATTATATTAAACATATATTTTTAATTTATACAATCAATTCTTTTTGAAAAAGTAATAGTTTTTTTTTTTTTTTTTGTATGAAGCCACATGACAAATATAAAGTTTTAAGAACAAGAAGTAAATTTTCTAGGGCGTGTTGTAGAAATACAAAAAACTATCTAATTGTGATCTATTAAATAAAAAATGATTGATTATATATAAGGTTGATATAATTTAGAAAATAATTTATAAGTAGAATTTAGTAATGTAATAATGTGATTTGTTAAAAAAATCTCTATTATTTTTTATCAAAATATTAGCATAATGATACTTCTAACAATTACTAAAAAGAATGTTTCTTTAAGATAAAGTTAAAGATGAATTTGAGGTAATCAAAATAAAATAAAGTCCAAAATATTTTTTAAAATTTGATGTCAACTTTGTCTAGGCCTTGTTACTTATTTTTTACTAATGCTTTTATTATCACATTTAATTTTGATAAAAGAGGAAATTTATTTTAAAATATTTTATTCTATAATCAATTATTTGAGATAGGAGAATTATTTTAATTAAATAATAATTAAAAGATCTTAAGTTTTATTATTTTTTTGATACAATTTAAAAGAAAAAACATAGTCAATCTTGAGTATAACTTCTTCTTTTAAAAAGTAAATATGAGACTTTTTATATATTATTTAAAAATTAATTATAATATTTAATATATTTTTTGCAAATTGCTTGAAATATTTCTTTAGAATACAAAGAATCTATATTGTTTTATTTGGTTTTAAATTTTATTTTTATTTTTATTTTATTAAAATATCTTGTTATATTTTCAACTTGTTCATAAAAGTAATATTGTTGAAATCTGAGATTAAATAAATTTTTAAAATATTTCTCCAAATATATTGTATATATCTAATTTAAGGTTATAAAGAAAGTATGACTCGAATAAAAAAAACTTACTCAAAGGTGATCAAAGAAAGTGGTATATTTTTTAATAGAATAGTCTAAGATGTGTGATGTATAGAAAAAAATTGTAGTGATATAAGATTTGTCAAGACAAGCTTAAACCCATCTACCAAATAATCATAACAATTAAATTTGCTATGGATATGACTTTGATTTCAATGAAGATAGTATCTTACTACAAAAAGTAGATTTAATTTTGAGATATTTTTCCATATTCTAATCTTCATTTCTAATCCATCTAATTTTTTGATAAATAGCATTGAGTATCTTTCTAAAAATAATCTCTTTTTTTGCCATCATTAGAGACATAAATATTTTTTCAATCAATATTTTTAATATGAGTGTTTTTAAAAATCACCTCTTGTATCTTATTGTTAAAAAGAGAACAAACTAAAGTATTCAAGTGCATAATAGAGGGATGGATTAGAATGCATATCACTCCTATTCTAGCTCCATCATCTTTTGTCTATATCCAAATATAGCTAAAAAAATATGATAGGATATTTTTATTTTTTATTTTTTATTATTTTATTATTTTTTAATCTAATTCTTTAATATTAATGTAATTCAATTTTTATTATTGCAAAAATAAACCATCACCTAAAGGTTGTATACATCTAATATAATTTCTAAACTCAATAATATAAAAAATGTTATTAAGACATCTTTAAACATATATAATTAGATTTGATTTTATATAAAAATTCTAAAATAAATATAAATTTATACCTAATTAAGTAAATTTAATTTATGTATTAGAGTTGGAGCTTGATTAATAATATAGAGAGCTTTTTGAGATAAGTGTCTGTAAGTTATGTTATAAAAGTGGTCCTCATATCAAGAGTTATAACATTCATAGTAGATCTTACTATGTTTGTTAAAGTAAAAAAAAAAAAGACTAGTACTATAAAAGACTTGTCAATAAGAAACAGATGGTTTTCTTTATATAGAATGAAGTGAGGAAGATAGGCTCTCATTCTACTTTAAATAAAATAAACAAAGGCTCTACTTTGGTCTTCTCTCTTCCTTCTTCAATACATATAACATTAAATTTAATGGCTAGCAAATCTCCTTGTAAATTTCTCATTTTAGGTTTAGATCCTACTTAAGATGTTTATTTTTTAGAAAAAAAATTCACTTAACATATTGGTCTTATGTAAAATGATTGTGCAAAAGATATTTGCCTTAACAAACTAGGCTAAGCTAATAGCTATTAGTCTAATATATGGAGCTAATAGATTAAAGATTGAATGTATAATCTAAATTTTTTTAAAAAAACCTACATTTGACAAAAGTTTAACAAAGGATTAAAAAATAAATGATAAGAGATTGAAATCATTGCAATCTATGATGCAAGGTAACTTTGGTTGTTAGAATGAGTTGAAAAATGATTTAAAAATAATATTAAAATCAATTAGTATTATTAAAAAAAAAAGATAATATTGGCTATTGTTTCTTTGTAATTTATTTTTTATTTATATTAGCTAAAAATAGATAGATATTATTGATCTAGATTGAAAAGATGAAATTAAGATCAAAATTTATTAATTGTTTATCTTGTACTTTGTAAAGAAATTAGGGACTTTGCAATTGAGTTTGAATTTTGAAAGACTTTTTGAGGTTGAAAGTTAATGAAGTGTTTAAAGAATTATATATCATTTGAATTTGAAAATAAATTTGAGCTAAGAATAAATTTGTTATATTATTATTGGAGTAATATCAATAATATATTATGGTTTAGAATTAGATCATTGCAAAGGACTAGTTTAGTTTATAATATGTCTTGATGTTAATTGAATTATAAGTGGAAAGTGGTTTGAATTAAAGGAGATGCAATTTGTTGACCTTATAGGCTTTTGGGCTAGTAGAATGTGAGGTTGTTATTATATTGATGGTATGTGAAATTAATATTGGGCTGAGATATTATCTTTTTAATTTGTTATTAGTTGAATCTTGTTAAAATTATTTAAGATAAGTGATATTAGAATTTTCTTCTATTGTAGATGGTAGTGTGATTTTGTATATTGGAATGTATTATTAAATCTAAGCCCATTTATATTCAATCAAGGCTATAAGTAGGAATAATGGTGATGTTTTTTTTTTTTTTTTTTTTTTTTTTTTTTTTTTTTTTTTAGTGTAATAATGTATAGGAATTAGGACCAAGATAAAGTAATGAATTAAGGCCATGCTATATTATTAAAGCAAGGTCTTTTATATAAATTATTGAATTTTTATAAAAGGTGCAAGAATAAGAATTTAGAAGGATTTTTTTTCTTATATTATAAATCATGGGACAAAATACTTGATATCTATTAAAGTCTTTAGATTGCATTTATCAAAATTTATTTTTGAATAGTTTTGTAGAGATCTAAAAGTAAAAAAAGATAATAATGTGGTTAATATTTTTGATATTTTAGTAAATAAGGCCATTGTAGATGAACCAAAAGTAATTTTTGAATGTGATTGAAGTTACTTTTACTCCAATATTGTTTTTGAAGACTTGGGTGTTGGATAAGAGAACTAACATTAAAGCTAGTTTTTAATGATCTTGTTCTTTCCACATATATAAGAAAGCTGATTGTTATATATTCCTTGGTATGTATTTATTTATAATTATTATTTTTGGATGTCTTCTTATTTTTATCTATTATATATTCATTGCAGTAGATGGTGTTATCTATATTAAAATTTGGTTTGTCTTAAGGTGTATTTTAATAGATTTGAGAATCTCAACAAGCACTTGGCTTCTCTTAAGTTCTAAAGCTATACAACATCCAATTATTTAAAATTATTGTTATTTTCTTTGACAAAACATACTTAGTTTCTTAGTCATAGAATTGCTATTTATTTTAAATTTACTTAGTAATTTTTTTAAAATTATCCAAGTTATAATTTTTGTCCTATATTATTATCACTTTGATGAAAAATAATAATTGATTGAAAATATTATTCCAAACATCTATATTAATTTGCAATAATTGTAGGTTTTTATAGAAGTAAATCTATCAATTTAATATTTAAACAATGGTTTGTAAGACTATAAAGGAAAATGAAATACATGTTGAAACAAGTTGCACTTTAGATAAAAGATTCTTTATACTTGGACTATTAATCTATAGATTATCAAATTTTTATAATAATTAATTTTTTATAAACTTGAACATGGAACTTATATAATGCAAGAATAATATTATAATTAATATTATTACAATAATGTTATTACAAGAAATACAACTTCTAAGAGGTCTTTAGTGACTTGCTAATGGTGTCAAGAGAAGATTAAAACTTGTAAGAACTTTAATGATTAAAATCTTAATTCTTGGTATGGTTGAAATCGCATAATTTTTTTGAACCTAAAATCACTAATAAAAAATTCTAATGATATGCCAACAAAAAGAAAATAATTTGAGATGAGATGAATGCACACAACAAAAAATATGCTGGTTGCAATAAGAAAAAAATAATAATGTCAATAACAATATATACAAGACCTACTTCCCTTAGTAAAAGAACAAAACAAAGGCCAGCTTAAGCACTCCATTATTTAGAAACCAAGTTCAATACACATAGCTCCAAGTGAAGAATGAATATCCAACAAGCTCTTTTACTTAAACTAGATTGGTACAGAAATGCACACTGAGTTTGTTTCATTTCCCCTAAAACTAAGAATGCACATCCACTGGGTTGTTTTTCTAGAAATGAAAACTAGTATCTAAAATAGTTGTTTTGTGAAGCCAATTCTCAGCTACTGTTTTTGTTGTTGCAGTGGTTGCGGTGGCTTGTTGTGTGTGTGAACCCCATCCCTGGTTGGTTTCTCAGCATTAACATGCATTTTGCAGAGATACCCATGTGGTCACAATTGTCATGCATGAGCAGCAGCGATGGCAGAGCGAGGTGAACTGCCAGGCATAGTGCTTCGCCTCTCAGTGCTGCTGCTGCTTCTTGGTATGCTCGCACTGCTTTCGATGCTACTCATGCCTCTTCTCTCTTTCTGTTTACAACTTCCTATTCTGTGCAGTGTTTGAGTTTTTTGTCACTGATTTAGAGACTGGCTATGGTTGTCCTTGCGAAACAGGTTTTGCTTCTGTGCAGCTACAAGGATGGGCTTCTCGGAACTCTGTGGGTTATGGTTCTTTACAGGCAAGGTTACAGAGATTGGGAAGAAGTGCGAGGAGAGTGAAGCATGTTTCGGTCGTTTATGAAAAGGTTGAGGGTCAAGAAATTCCGGGTCGGATTCAGTGCAGAGGTTTGTGAGCATCTGTCTTTGTGAGGTGTGTGTTTGATTTAGGAGGTTGTCGATAGCCCTTTGTGAGTAGTAGCTTATAGCTTTCGATAATGCATGTTGTGTTGTTACTGTAGATGATTCGTGGAGGAATAGAAGCATCCCAAATATGGAAACAAACAGGCTGGCGCGTGACAGACCATGCATGTTATCTAAAGAGGAGACCGTCTCCTTTGTTACTCTTTTCGTGATGCCGGAAGTTGAGACTGCCAGCGATCGTTTCTCCGAAGCAGTTGAGAAGAAGTTTGAAGTGAGAAAGGTGAAGAAGAGCAGGCAGGATGCAGTCCTCCGCGCTTTTTTGGAGTCCATTCAGGTGGGTACATCTTTATAATAGTCCCACGAGCGATAGTTGGACTAAGTAATGCATCAGTTCGTCAATGTTGCAGGACTTAAAAGTAGAGGAAATGTTGAACTAATTGTTCGAAGGTTGCAATTCAACTGTTCAATAACGGTCCGATTTTAGTTGATAAAGGAAAGCTGCCATCACGAGTAGCTGTATCATCGGAGGAAACACAATCGTTGCTCCAATGATGAACTGGACTGTAAAGCATGGTATATCGGATATTTTTTTCATAGCCGCGCTAGATTCTTCTTACTGATTGCAAACCTCACTAAATAGAAAAATTATGTAGTTCTGACTCTATATGATAACATGTAGAACAGAGCGCATTCGATCTTAGAACTGTAATGAAATGTACTTTCCAGGAACAACAGTTGCGTCATACAACAATTAATGATTCACCTTTTAAATCACAGCGTAAATCTTTACATGAGCAGGTATCTATGCCAGGCACTACACGAGTGACGATTATTACGAACCATAATAAACTCAGAGGAGAACTACCGCAAGACATTGATTGGAAACCAACATCAAGACACTTTAGTCGCCGAAACCTCATGATTCAGAGACTTCAGTCATACATTGTACGCTGTTTTTGAAAGACATACTTTGAAGCAACTATACTCTTATCTATAGGCTGCACATTACATTGAGCCAATCGATGCATCTTCGTTGAAATGTTTTAGATTCCTCGAAAGATAATTCTCTGACTTAATAAATTTCTTTTCTGTTGCGCGCCTTCATTGTTCCCAGCAAAACTTGAGCTCTGGCCAGGTAACAGTTTCATGATATCTTTACCAAGAAGATCCCGGGGAATGTAAATGCCTTCGATGTGATCTTTGAAAATCTCCTAAAATGTCACCATTATTGTAAATGTTTTCTTGTTCAGGAATTGCTGGATAGTATGATCGAGGATCGGAAGAATAACAGCTCCAGCCCAGTATCGCATGCAATATTCTCAGATTTTGACATGATAGTGGTAGATGACTTGGGGTGTGTGTTCAAAGAATTCCCTCACTTTGACATCGCCTTTACATTCCGGAATAACCAGAGGCAGCCAATTAACTCTGGTGTTATTATGGTTCGGGGGACGTTTGGGAGCTTGTCAAGGTTAGGTGCCGATGTGTTTGTTAAGCTAGGATGATATTATTTCTGCTACAGCATGTGTTCTGTAATAGAATTGTATCATAGTTTGAAGGATTTGTGTCTTGATGAGTTCAGCTTGAAAATATTCATTCCCACACCCCAATAATTTGAGGGTTGATTGATTGTGGTATTTAGGGCAACACAACTGCTGAAAGAAGTTGTCAAAATTTACCTGGCCAAGTTCAGACATGCATTCGGCGTGCTTGGAGATCAATTAGCACTTGCAGATATTGTAAAAGGTACATTACAAGCGAGAGCATTTCAAGAAGGCGTTCCTGTAGAGGCAACTGTGATGACCACGAAAACATTGTTTTTGCCTTGCGTCATCTACAATTGGACGCCTCCTGAAGGTGCTGGACAATTTCAAGGAATGCCGACTGAAGTCAAAGTACGTAACTCGTTACCGATTGGGATGTAAATTGCTTGTTCTAACTAAGAGAGCGTTGTATCATTCGCTTGCCGGTCAGGAATATGAATTGCGTAAGTGAATGCCAGTCACTACCATTTTCAAATCTTTACATCATTCCACCTGTTGTAACACCTATTTGTTCAACTAAATTTTCATGAGATTTCGAATTTAGCAGTTACCAACTTGTAGCGGTTTCGATTGTTGTGGTCTTTTTTGTATGTTGCAGGTTCTCCACTTCAAAGGTCGAAGAAAACGACTCATGATACAAGCATGGTATTTTTACAAGAAGCAGGGTGTTCTGGATTTCTACAAAATGAAATGCCTCGTCCTGAAGAGCGGCCGTTCAAAATATGACTACTAAGGGTAGCCTCATGCTTTTCTCCAAACAGCTGAAGAAATTTATGTTCTTGAACTTGTTTTCCATCTGGCAGTCAAGTCAAGCATGGATACATTTAAGGGGAAAGAAAACCGTCGCACTATCAGATCAGTGCCGTTGAAATGGCACGAGAAATGAAGGAAGAGTGCCTTTTTACTGGAGAAATAAATTTCAAGTATTATTGTGTCGAAGAAATAGTGTTTGCCCACTAACCCATGCCCGATCACGTGTAGACTGATAAATACTGGTCAAACGATTTTCTTCACTTTTCGACAATCTAAAATCATGTTTCTTATTGAAAAATGAGATGACGATTGAAACTGGTTGCATATACATGATTTGAAATGAAAAAGCCAAAACTGTCAGACGAGCTATCATGTGAAATTGATGTACTTGCGGTGAAATTCGTCATGTGAAAGAACATCGACATGGTGCATTGTTTTTTACGTGTGACAAATGAAATGGAACCATACAATTTCCAAAAGAAAAATAATCGAAATTATTTATTTCTGGGCTAATTATGCTTTAGAAACCTGTGTCCGGGATGAAAAAGGTCATTCCCCACCGTGTGTCCTGAATACCGCAAGATACTGAACTGATCGTCAACTAGCCTGGTAGTCGTGGACAAAGTTGTAGGAACTGTAAGTGAGTCTATCCGAAGAGACGTTTTTACATCCCTCCACCTCAATGAAAGAGTATGAGCTGCACCGAATGGGGTGTCGACTCATGGCAACCTAGGCTACGGCTTCCTCCGGCTGGCGGTACTTGTACTCTCCCCTGTCACCTCCGAACTTCCAACCATGGCCGAGCAGTGTTGCACGGTTCCGCTAACGGCCCAAGTGCTGCCGAAGTCCTTGTGTAGAGCTCATGAGACAGGCAGGGGATTGTAGAACTGAAGGAAAAGGGTGAGGAGGAGGAGGAGGTTAGCAGGGAGTGAGTGATTGCACAATGACGGGTGGTGAAGACGAAGGAATAGAGAAAGAAGCTTGTGTGGGTAGCTTGTGTTTTGTGCAGCCCCATCCCCTGTACTTGCCTCCTCCGTTCTATGGAAAGCTTATAGGCCAGGTGGGTTCTTCTTGTTTTTTGCTCCTCAAGTGATTCTTTTCATGCAAGAGGAAGTACGCTTGCCTATCGAGAAGTAGATTTAGACAGTCAGCAACAATTCTTAGCATATTTGTAAGATTTCCCGCCGCTGAGAGCAAAGCATCTTCCGTGAATTATCAACACTAGACTGAGATATCTGATTCAAGTTTGGATTGAGAATCGAACGCTAATCGAGAAATCTGTTGGTCTGAGTAGTTTTTCGCCTTAATCCACTTCGCCTGGTTTTTTATTGCTTAGTGGACAAATTCGCTATCCTGTAGCTCATTTTTAGAAGCAACGCAGCTTGTAGTTCAATGAGATCAATAATGTTTTTGAGGGTGTATATGACACTAAGCTCTTCACAGCAATGGCTGTCCATATGAATGGTTTCAGCAAATCTGCGTAGGTTTTGAAACAGTCCCTGTCATCGATCAAGATCCATCTTTTTGTTGTCTCTGGCAGGAATACAGATGGAAAATAGGAGCTAAATTGAGTACGGGACCTGGGTTGCAATTGAAATTGCAAAGAGCAATCACATTGCCTAATTTCTTGGGCTTAGGTTTGTTGGTCTATTCCAATTCTTGATTTACTTGGTTTTAATTTATTAAGATTTCTTGTTTTTACGTTGTTTGTACGAAAATTTCCGATTCCCTGCAAAGTTGTAGGTATCCTCCCAAGAATCCTAGTTCGAGCAGGTTTTCATTTGTTTAAAGATTCCTTACAACCCTACGTCTTCTTAGGGCAGGATTAAGGAGGGTTTTTTTTGTCCGGTAGAAAGGTAAGAATGGAGGGAAACCAAAGAAAAATATCAGGTTTCCAGATACCTTGGATCACAACTAGAGAATGACGTACTACAGGGATGGTGGTTTGGACATGGTTGTTTTCATTGAAAAAGAGTTATTTGTATCTAATAATTAAATTTAGAATTGCTTGGTCATTCAAGTTCCAAGCGTTTGGTCATCGTTGTAAACGAGTAAGCTCTGAGCTTGACATAATTTGCACGTGGCATCTCAACTTTCGCTCTTTTTGGTTACTAATAAAATTTTCTTAAGCTTCTTGGGCATATTTGACTCAAGCACAGCTGTTGCAAATTCGTGTCCATGTAGACAAGGACGCCAGGTGGCGATGGCAGCACATTCCGTTATCTATTAAAAGTGGTGTCAAAGTGGACACTCGATTAGACCGTCAAGAATCAGCAGGCGATAATTCTTTAAAAAGCTCTGGCATCAAAACAATCCGCTTACTTCCCCACTTCTGCATCAAATCTAAGAGTTCAATTTTTGGAACTTTAGGTAAGAATTTAGATTTGCATTCTTTATTTACAGGCTGTAAGTTTTTAGAGCTTGTAATTGTCGTTACATTGCCGATTATTACTTGTCAATGCTGTATGCAGATTGGAATCCGGTTGCCCATGTGCGTGCCATGCGACGTTACATAGCCTTTTTGCAGCCAAATTCCTTCGTTTGTCCGAACTCATGGTTTTCTTGTAAAAAATAGATGCGCTTATTTATCAGCATGAAGTAGTAAGCTATATGCATTCACGCTACTTGGAACATATCGGGAAATAGGAAGGAAGTCATGGTATCGTTTTGACTTGGAGGGGACATATTTCTGGTGGCTGTGCAGCCTTGCGTCCAATTGTGGAGGTTGTACCTGCCCCTACTTTAACCGTGCAACGTCGTTTCTCTGTTGGTGCAACAACACTTACTCTGCGTGTGAACTTTGAGGTAGATCAATTCGATTCTTTGAGATCAAACTTCTGAAGTTCTGTTCGACTTGTATGCTACGTTCACTTATTTGTTGCTACTTAATACTTTGAAATGGCCTCATTTACAGTATAGGTTTTCACTCCTCATCAAAAGAAAAAAAAGTAGACATCTATGTCTTGTAATCTCAAAAATGCACTTGGTTTTCCGGGAACAGGTGCCATTGAAGAAAGGGCCTTCTTGGAGTGTGCAATTCAACTGGCTTAAAGATGCGGTAAGGGCACAGCATTGGAACTCTAAACCCGGCATTGCATGCGCGCATTTCCGATTTATTGAAGCTAAAAGACTCTAGGTTTGTTTATACCCATGTTCATTTATTGCAGACAAAGCTGGTGGTGGAGCCTGTGAAGGGTGGATTTGACATCCATTATTCTAAGACACTTAGGCTTTCTGAAGGCTCTAAAGCTGTGAGTTTAACCATTTTCCTTCTATCCAAACAGAATTTAAGTGTGCTATGAGGACCATGTTATTGAAGCCGCTCAATTTTTTGCAATTTTGCTGTACTCAAGGTCTACCTTTCACTGCGACGTCTTTAGACGTAGCCACGTATAGTGTTGTTTGAAGATAATTCATTATCCTTTAGAGAAACACTAATAATTTTCGTTGGGCAGCTATCTCCTAAAACCACTAGTATTTGCTGCACCTTCCAGGTAGCAGCAGGCTCAGCAAGAGCGCCACTAGATTTTCTTTCGGGTGAGTTTTCTAGCAGAAAGAATAGCCTACCTCTCCAATTCAGGTCAAGTTACCTGAAGATATCACAGATATTTGGTACACGGGTAAGTTGCTCAACTCCTCTGCTGCCTTGGAAGTTTATGCAAGTGGTCAAATAATAACTCATGGCCAGAAGGTCTGTCTAATAGTTTTCAATACTTTTCTAAAGGTAGTAACGTGGCATATTTCATGAATACTGAGAAGTTCTAAGTTAACACAGGCTCTGCGGGACACTCCTAAATCTGCTTTTGTGTATCGAGAAGCTGCTAAGAGTATTGGAGAAGAGGACATCATCAGTGTTGTGCCTGGCCATTGGATCGACTGTTCATCAGAACCAGGAGCTCATGGAGAGCGCGAGTTCAATATGGACGTATGTTGTCTTTCGAAATCCTCGTCTACAGCATTCCACAGGCTGTTTGTGCAATGTGGATATGTACTGTTGCGCTCCCTTTTTTTTTTTTTTTTTTTTATGTGCAACAAGTTGTTCAATTTAGTGAAACCTGGTTAATTTAATGAAATCCTGCAGGTAGCTAATGTCCTAGAAAAGGAGTTACGTAAGAATGGATGGGAGGTTCTACGGCCCGATCGTGATGCCCCTCAAATGCAATGGGAAGAGTATCTCAATTGGGTCTCAAAACAGGTGCGAAGCATTTGTCCACACGGGTTGAGATATCATCTACTCTCTCTCACATAAACTAGAATTATGTCGTTGATATGGCTACATAACGCATTTTCAGAGAAAAACTATGTTAGTATCAACCATTACTACGGACCAGAAATGCTGACTGGTTTTATCGCTCGTGTTGAAGAGTTCGAAGGGCATCCCCGTGCTGGAGATACATGGACAGGTGCGTTTGTCATTTTGCATATGATCAACTGTTGTGGTCAGCAATATCGACGATAGTCCATAGGGTTCGGATGTGTCATGTATGATCCACTTTTTTAAATGCTGAATGCGTGACAGTATGTATGGACGTTGGAGAGGATTGAGCTACGGAGATCCCTTTTCATTTTCATTTTTATTCAGTTTCTTTCCTTTTCTTTTCACTTCGCCAAATTCACGCAGGGTTCGAATGCTGACTACAGAGGGCACGTTCTTGGAGTAATTGGTGACTACAATGTGCCTCTCAGTAAGGTAAGGGGTGAAGTTATGCGGTAATGAACCGAGTAGTGATAATTTGTCTATGAAAAATCTGCTATATTTCATAAATAGTATGCATCAATTGTCAAAATGTTAAACCTCTCTTCACGTTGTTATCTGATTCTTTTTGGCGTGTACAGGAACTTGCACAGACCTTTGGTGAGTTCCAGATGGATTGGCGAGAGCTTGGGGTTCCCCGTCGTGGTGGGGTCATCGTAGAAAGCTTTAATGCTGATGAGGTACGACATGTTCCGTGAAATTTTGCTCAAGGTCATTTACTTTTAGGAAACATTAAATCAAGCTTGTTGATAATCATAGAAACATGGAATACCGATTTTACGAAGGACAGTTGCATTAAGAAATATAGGTGCGGTTGTCTCGCTATCCAAACAGGTGGTGCAAATGAAGCCATGGCAACGCACCTGGGCTGCCAGAAGGCTATCAAATCAAATTGTATCTGCAATAGAACGAGCAAGTGCTCCCAACCGTAAGCGACGTGGGCTTGTGGTAGACTTGGACGCCTATAAAGATGCTTCAATTGAGAGATCTGCTGGAGCAAATCGGTTGTAGTGCCATGATTTCAAGGAACATTTCAATTTTAGGACCAAGCAGAAGATTTTTGTTCAAAAGATAGCTAGCAAGAACATGTAGATAAGCAGCCCTTGAAGCTTTCATCCCTCCTTGTACTTTGTGAATCCATGTTTTGAGATTGTAGTCATGGTAAATGGGGAACCCAGCATCCATGTAGACACGGCTGGTCGTTCGTTTTACCCTCTAGACATTTGAGAACGAGGATCTCTACCCCAGTTTTATTTCAAAACCAGGTAAAGAACAACCAATCCTGTTCAGCTTTCAGAGCAGAATTTTGACAGGTAAAGGTTTCACCCTGAGTGGGTTACAACTTCTGTACATCAGACGCTGTTTTTCAAAAAGTTAAAATCTAAAATCCAAATTCCTCTGCAGCATCTACACCCTCCTACCTGCTCACTTCTGCATCCAATCACACTACACTGCAATCCAGACTCATCTCTCAGTTGCTCACTATCGCACACAACCAATCTACCCAACACTAACCTTAAACATAATCCAAGGCTCATGACAGGACCAGCAGCAGGCTACCTGCAATTATCTACTCACAACCTTTTAACTCAATTTAAGACTCAGCTAAACCTTTTCAAAGCAGCTGGAAGACGAGATTATGTTTACGGGGAATGGATCACTTTGACCTTCATGACAGACTTTTGCAGAAAGTTTGGAGGCTTCTTTTTCGAAATGAGGGAGAGGTGGCAAGCATTCGTCCAGGGATGGATGATCCCAAGCAGAGCCTCGCCATTCACATGAGCATTAGGAGCCTGAATGGATAACGGCCCCTAGTTCCACAAAACGGAGCTGCAACAGCATAACAGGGGAAACACAGGGACGTCAACAAAACAGGAGGCTGGCCACGGTGAAGCTTGAGCAAGGGGGCAGGGACCAGAAGAGAGGGAGTGGGATTGGGAAGGCAATTGGATATTATTAGGGTTCAAGGGGGAGGAAGGGGGTTGTCTTCTGCTCCATGAATGGGGCTCTCGGTTGATGTTGTAGCACGCGCCTCGATTCTCAACGGCGCGCCCGCTATGGCCATGGCGCCCAGATGCCTTTGTGTTGCAGTGCAGCATTGCCACCCCGCGGCCGCAAACGGCATGATGCAGAGCCTCCGGTACTTGCAGCGAGGGCAGTTATGGGCCACGGCGCTCGGGCTGCGTGGCTCCGCGCAGCAGCTGGCTTTCGTGCGCTCGTTGGGGAGCTGGAGCTCGCCTGTGCCCGAGAGGACGGCCTCGTCCAAGCGCCGGGCACGGGGACCGATCATGGCTGCTGCTAAGAAGGCCGCAGGCGAAGGTGAGTGAAAATTCAGACGAATGTCAGAGTTCCTGTGAATTCTAGTCGTATGTGCTCAGTGTGTGTGCGTGCGGGTGCGTGTGTGTTTTTGTGGGTGCGCGCTATTTTATATGGAGTGTATACATCGAATTTGTGGAATTCACAGGTTTTTGAATCTGCGCTGTCATGGAAATGCGATTTTAGTACATGGATAGAACGTGGAATTACGTTGTTGGTGTCGTTTTCAGCACTTGGATCTAGGATTTCGGGACCCAAAATTGCAATGCCAAGAGGCTGTATGTTCTGCTGAACGGAGTGGTCAAATTTGTCTCAGCATGACCGTAGTCATTATTCGCAGTAGCGTCATCCTGCAAAATTGAACTCACGAATAGGAATGTGTCGATGTTGTCGACTTCTGGGCCCTGCTTTGAATTTTAAACAGCGTGTTCTTTCAACAGACTGCTGGTTTTTACAATTTAGTTTTTAGAATTATGAACGGTAGCTAACACAGTTGAGTTCATAAGAATTGATTAACAGCTTCAATGTAGTTCTCTACTACTAGCACCAATCTCCAGCTATAAATTTTGATTTTTATCGACTCCCTTAGGCGTCATTCTGGCTGGGTCTTTTGAGGCGGGATTCACATGCATGAAGAAGTGACTCTTCGATCTGGTATTTCAGTAAGGGTCTCGCCTTTCTCGTGCCACGATGCTAGAGCTGTTCCTTCGAAAATGTAGTCTTGGTTACATGTCACCCTTGACTTGACAAAATTGGGCAGATTTTAGAGTTTATTACCAACCGATGCCCTTCTTCAATTTCATCTTGCAAGAGATTGATGGCATTTCTGGGGCATTTGGCTATGCCGTATTTCGGTTAATTTAATCATATTCTAACGGACGTTTTGTTTGGCATGAGGCGCAGGTGGTTCGCAAGATGGCGGTCAATACAAAGATACGGTAGACTTACCGCAAACAAGTTTTGGCATGAAGGCCAATGCCGTACAAAGAGAACCTGAGATTCAAAAGCTATGGGAGGAGAGACAGATTCTTCAAAGGATGATGGAAAGGAATACTGGGGTGCGTCTTGCTATTTCTCATCTTGATTTCTCTGTTAAATGCGCATACGACTGCGTCGCTTTCAGCTCTTTTTGGGCTCTTGTTGGGGTTTTGCCTGGTTTAGCTTTAATTCGCAAGGTTACTAGATCGAGGTGATTGTGCTCAAAGCTTAGAGCTTGATGCACTTCCACATGATGAGCTTCATGGTATAGAACTGTGATCAGATAAATGTGAGCCTCCTATAGTCCTGTAGACGATTTCTTTTTTCTTCCTAGAAACCTCATTAACGGGATGAAATGCAGTGAAATTAAAATTACGTTCCCGTTGTCTTTGACTTATTTTGACTTAATTTGACTTAATTTGTTTCTTGGGTACGGTCTTGCTCATATTCATGTTTCCGGTGTAGGATTATTTTTGCGGTCTAGTATGTAGTGAAGTTTATATATCTGATAACTTACTTACTTTCTCAGGAAATCTTTACGCTTCATGATGGACCTCCATACGCGAATGGCGAGCTTCACATGGGCCATGCCCTGAACAAGATTCTGAAAGATTTCATAAACCGTTATCAGGTCAGTTTTTCAACCTGTGTCGACGCCTTGATTCGTGAAAAAGGCGTGGGGGATGTTTAAGCCTTTTATAACATTATTTTTTTTTGCTGAGTAATGCATTTTTAGTGTGCGGCAGTACAATATGTAATCTCTGTCGAAGTTGAACATAAAATATGTGGTCTAAATTTTCGGTTTGTGTAAGTAAAAAATGCTTTTAAAGGCTGTAGAACCAGTTCTGGGTCAGTTCTGAGACTGAATTGTAACGATGTATGATTGCAGCTTTTGCAAGGTCGGAAGGTCTACTATGTTCCTGGTTGGGATTGCCATGGTTTGCCCATTGAATTGAAAGGTAAAATTATATTGATTTTCCTTTGCAACTTTCTAATTGGTACTGGTGTTGCAATTGCTAGGTACTAATAAACTTTCAGGATCTTCATTTTTAGGTTATGCTTTAGTTTTTTTCTGATTAATGGTAATGGTGATTTTCTCTTAATTTTTCTTTACATATTTTCTTTTGTTCTACCAACTTATGGTGTTATCACTTAACTTTTAGTAACGAACGCTGAACACACTTAAGTCCGATTTCTCACGTCTATCGTTTTGGTACAGTGCTTCAATCAATGGATGCAGAAGCGAGGAAGGAATTGACACCTATTAAGCTTAGGAAAAAGGCTGCTCAGTTTGCTCAGAAGACGGTGAACGAGCAGCGCAAATCATTTAAGGTGTTCTGAACTGCCCCATTTGTGAATTTACCCTCTGGATGTACAGGAGGATGAATGACTAGAAATACTAGAGTGCCTTCAAAGGCGGCTGTAGCACCTGAATAAATATTCCAAGTATGCTAGTTTTCGTTTTGGCGTTGCCTGACCATGTAATGATTTCCCTTGCATCTATTCACGCCGTGTGAACTCTTGGATCGATGTGTATACTTCACTATTTATCTCATTCTCCCGTTCTTGTTGCAGAGGTTTGGAGTGTGGGGAGATTGGGAAAATCCTTATCTGACACTTAGTCCTGACTATGAAGCTGCCCAGGTCAGCATCGTCACTTTATGCCTAAGTTTAGAAAGGTTTGTAGGATGTGCGTCTGGTATGCTGGCCGAAAATAGTTGCATAGTGATCACTGTTGCATCCATTGAGAGTGGTTTAAAAATGCTCTTTGAAGTCCGATACATTTAATTCGCGTTCGTCTGATGTCGCAAAACAGATTGGCGTGTTTGGGAAAATGTTTCTGAATGGTCACATTTATAGAGGTCGGAAACCTGTACATTGGAGCCCATCATCTGGAACTGCCCTTGCTGAAGCAGAGCTTGAGGTGTTTTTCTCAACTGAATTTTTGTGTCCCAAGTTAACTTTGGAATACTTAAACCGGAATGTGTTTGGATGTGTGAATGTACGCAAATGGTTGGCACTTGATATACTGAAAGTTTACATACTTAATTAGTTTTATATTCTATTTTTCTGCTAACGTATTATGTTTTCTGAGCTTTCGCTTATTATTATCAGCAGATTCTGTCCTCAAGAAAATATTGCATTATATTCTTGTGATTATGCAAGGCAACAAGTCTAGTAGTTCTTGCTTGGTATTGTATGCTGTTACTAGCATTGAGTGGGATAAGAAGCACAAATATCGTCTGCCTTCATTTTCTTACCTTTTGTTTAATTTTAACCGACAGTATCCCGAGGGCCACACATCAAAAAGTATCTATGTGGTTTTCAAAATGATTGAGTTGAGCGATAATTTTCCTGAATCTTTGAAGCCGTTGCTACCCAGCATGGGTGTTGCTATCTGGACTACAACACCTTGGACTATCCCTGCTAATGCAGGTAAATGATCTTTCCAATTCCCTTTCTAGTCAGATGACAGATCCTTCTATCATTCCTTAATTTTTTGAATAATCATTTTCAAGAGATTTTAAGGCAGTTTACCATGGAATCCTTATAAAGAACCCAAGACATTTTAGCAATGATGTCATCTAGACTACCAATTCTTGATACTAGCTTACCGTTCACTATAGACAACTCATCTACGAGGTTTCTTCTTGATATCTAGACGCCTGGAATCCCATCATACACGTCTTTCCATCGATCCTTGACTCCCTCGCCGTGATGACACTGATGTGGTTTCATTCGTTAACTCATTTTGTAAACGCAAGTAAATGCTTGAATGAAATAATCGTAGCAATTCAAACCCAAAAAAAAATTTGTTCTCTTTATGTTTCTGGTTTTTGGCATGATTATTCTCACAGACCACATTTAACGCTGTCAGTGTGTTCTTGATCGCATTGTCCTTATTCTTTATGTTATAACTTAAATGTGTGTATTTTGGAATTCAGCTGTTGCAGTGAACGACAAGCTTACTTATGCAGTGGTCGAGATAAAGTCGTCCACCCCATCCGAGGGAGAGTCGGAAGCTTATCCAACAGGCAAGGGGAAGGCAAGAAGGGGGTCTGCTTTATTAGATCCCCAAGTGAAGCACGTGATAGTAGCAGCGGATCTTGTCCCTGCTCTAGAAGCTAAGTGGGGTGTCTCATTGGAAGTGAAAGGGACATTTCCTGGCTCAGCCCTTGAGCACAGCAGGTGCTTACTCCATGCCCCAGTTTCTGATGTCGATCATTTCCTTTGTCGTTGACTATTTCAGTCTTTGCAATCGCAGAGGTTAAAGTATGGGAAGCATTTGAAGTTTATGATACTACCTCAACTGTCAATTGTATTTGTGAAAAGCTTGTCTGATGGGTTCCGAAACTTGCAATTTCACCAAGTGAATTGCATGATATTCACTGCTGCTGTTCCATTTACAAAAACATATTCAGTGGTTTGGTTTTGGCACGGAAGTTTTGCTTTGAGGTAACTGGCTCCTTTTTACCTCACAGGTATAGACATCCTTTGGAAGAGCGTGAGAATCCTGTTGTAGTTGGGGGAGATTATATTACTACCGAGTCAGGAACCGGTTTGGTGCACACAGCACCTGGACATGGTCAAGAAGATTACATCACTGGACTGAAGTATGGTCTTCCTCTGCTCTCTCCAGTAGACGATAACGGCAACTTCACTTCCGAAGCAGGGCAATTTTCGGGTCTGAACGTGTTAGGGGAAGGCAATTCGTCAGTGGTGACAGCACTTGATTCGCATTCAGTCCTTTTGATGGAAGAAGCTTATGGTAACAATTTGTATGCTGAACTTTATTTATGTCATTGTGACAGTATTAATCCATAATACTAGCTGATTTCGGGTAATAAATCAATTATTTTTAGATTATACTCGAATTTTATCCGCGCAAAAACTTGTCTCTGTTTTGAACAGTGTAATGGTCATTGCCCTACTTATTAATATACATCTTTAGAGTAGAGCGAGTATTCAGAGAGAACGTTTGTTTTGCTTCATTATATTGAAATCGTAATGTGGTATGGCAGTGCACAAATATCCCTACGATTGGAGAACAAAGAAGCCCACTATTTTTAGGGCTACTGAGCAGTGGTTTGCTTCTGTCGAAGGATTCAGACAAACAGCACTGGAGGCAATTCGTAGTGTGCAATGGGTGCCCGCAACGGTAATCTTGCACGACATCTTCTTGTGGTCCAACTTTAAGGAAATTATCTACGTTTATTTCATCGGTATTGTAACGTCTGTCGTTGTGGGGAGTGGCAGACGAACTTATGATAAGTAAATTTTTTTATATCAGCAAAGAGGACTTTTTATCTGTGCAGGGAGAGAAAAGGATCACATCTATGACTGTTAGCCGATCCGATTGGTGCATCTCCAGACAAAGGAGCTGGGGTGTGCCAATTCCTGTCTTTTACCACGTGGAGTCTAATGAACCCCTTATGACCCAAGAGACGATTGCTCACATACAAGGTTCCACTCTTTACTTGATTAGCTCTAAGGCTTTCTATATTCCTCTACTGCTTGCAATTGCTGTATTGTGTAACGTGTACAGCCAAACGCACATTTTCATTGTGTATTGTGACATTTTTGTGTGGATAAATTGTAGACCCTTTTTTAAATGTTGCAAGTTCTGTCCTCTAAAGCCTATTGCCTTTTCGATTTGTGTGTGCAGCAATTATTGCTCAAAAGGGTAGTGATGCTTGGTGGTACATGAGCGTTGAAGATCTTTTGCCAGCTGAATACCGTGGGCAAGCCAACATGTACAAGAAGGGCATGGACACAATGGATGTGTGGTTTGATTCAGGTATTTACATACGACTCTCACGCCATCTATTTTACTCGTGAATTAAAAGGAGTTCTTGATTGATTACTATGTATCTTTTATATAATTACTGACAAGATGGGCCAATGTCACGTATCAGGATCTTCTTGGGCAGCTGTTGTGGCCGCTAGGAAGGAATTGAGGTCTCCAGCCGACTTGTATTTGGAAGGCAGTGACCAACATCGTGGCTGGTTCCAAAGTTCACTTCTCACCAGCGTGGCCACTGAAGGTAATTTCAATAAATGGGCTCATTTAGTGGCTATTGCTTGATTCAAAGTACCAGTAAACCTTCTTTCTGTACTGTATCAAAAATTTAACTGAAATTTACTACAGAGTTGCAAGCACTTGCGTATTGCTTAGAAAACGTGTTTGTGTGTAGAATTCTTTTGACTGAAATACTTGTTCGTCTCAATCTTTTAGTTGATATCCTCCGCATCGGTGATTTTTGCTTTGACAGGAAGAGCGCCATACAAGACAGTATTGACACACGGGTTCGTTCTCGATGAGAGGGGTCATAAGATGAGCAAATCTCTAGGAAATGTGGTGGATCCTCGAAGTGTCATTGAGGGAGGCAAAAATCAGAAGGTTGGTGCGTGTTTATAATGAATAATATCATTGTGATTAAAATAGGGCGATCTACTAACTTTTTCACAAGAAGTTTTTATTTGTGCAATGAAGAGGTTTACAGTCCACTAATGAGGTATACAAGACAGTCTGTGGGAACGACTCTTGAAGGAGTGCTTACTACCTACTAGTTTTTTATCTGATTGTTGTTACGGACTGGTTCTCATAATTAGTGTTTGCATTTGCTAGCATCTCAGTGATCTAAATTTAAACTTTAACTGATGTTCTGATAATGATTTACAGATAAACTGGCACTATGTTGACAGGCTGAACCAGGGTATGGGGCGGACGTTTTGAGGCTTTGGGTGTCAAGTGTCGATTACACTGGTGACGTCATGATTGGTCCTCAGATTGTACGTCAGATGTCAGAAATATATCGCAAGCTCCGAGGCACTTTGCGTTACTTGCTGTCGAATCTTCATGACTGGAAGGTAGAGTCTCTTCTTTTATAGATACCCCAGCATTTGCATCAGTTGGGCACCACATTCAAAGCCTCCTTAATAGTCAACTTGAAACGTTTCTCACGCGGTGAGGATGTGTGAACTCTACGTCCTGTACTAAACACCAGTTGATCTTCTTATCTTGATACAAAATCAGTCGTTGGCTATTCCTCTTGATCAAGTTGGTTGTTGGTTTGACAATCAGCCAGCTGTAACTGAGTTGCACTGGCATCTTGCAGCCTGAAGAGCACAGTGTTGCATATGAAGATCTGCCGAAATTGGACCAGTATGCACTTTTTCAGCTAGCATCTGTCGTGGACGGAATTGAAGATAGTTACAACAAATATCAATTTTACAGGTTTTTCCAGGTTAGAAACCTCTTAACACCTCTTATATTAAGCCTCACTTATGGAGCCAGCTATTTTGTAGGTGCTTCGGATTATTCTACTTTAAGTTGTTGGCCTCCTACTGATCCATTTCCTTGTATAAAGCAGCTGATGCAACGGTTTATAGTGGTGGATTTGTCAAACTTCTATTTTGACACTGCAAAGGACCGGCTTTACACGGGGTATGTCTACTAGTTATTTTTTAATAGATACTATCATAGGAATATTTCTCTGATTGACTAATGACAACAAAACATAGGAAGTTGGTTCTTCTGCCTAATTATGTTCGCTATTCACACTAGAGCTGAAGATCTTCTTTACTGAAATAAACTGATTCAGTCTTGTAGTTTCTTGGAGCTCTAAGGGCATGAGAAACATAGTATAGTGGAATATTTTTCAGAGTAGGAAGCTCTAGTTAAGACTTTGATGTTTGTTTCTTCATCTCGCAGGGGTAGGGAAAGTTACACAAGAAGGAGCTGTCAATCTGTGTTAGCGGCACAATTACTATGCTTGGTGCGTGCCATTGCACCAGTTTTACCACACATGGCTGAGGATGCCTGGTCCCACCTTCCCTTTTCCTTCCACCTGGATAACGGTTCTTTGGCAGAAACTGTCTTTGAAGCAGCTTGGCCCAAGGTTGATGCAAGATGGCTTTCGGTTTCTGAAGAAGATCTCTCACTTTGGAGTGCTTTACTTCAGGTACTGCTCAGTGCTACGGATGCAATTCAAACCTTGTTAATTTCCAACCGTGGTGTCTGTGCATGTCAATACAGCCTAATTTCCGTGTTACGAGTCATGTAGTATTGCCTAATGGGTTGGTGAGCAAGCTTTCACGACTTGCTCTGAATTAGATCTAGCATGTGAGTGGGGATAGACTTGATTGTCATAATATTGGAACTAAATTCAAAATGTCATGCTCTGTTACCAGCTATATTCCATGTTGATTGTCACTTTCAGTTATAGTTAGTCCAGTAAGTTATAGCTAAAGTCGAAAATTTCTCACTATTTTTGCAGGTTAGAGGACTAGTAAATCAGAAACTGGAGGAGGCACGGAATAACAAGTTGATTGGAGCCAGCTTGGATGCTAAGGTCTATTTGCATGCATCGTCGAAGGATCTCCAACAGGGTCTAATTTCAATGTGCGGATCAAGTGACGTCGATCACCTGAAACGTATCGTGTTGACCTCTCAGGTACAAGTTCTTCAATTGATGACTGATCACGTGGATGGCTTTGAAGCTCTCTTTGAGGCTCTTTGTGAGCTAAGTAGAGGGTTGATTCTTGTAAATGTCGAGTCCGTATTTCAACATGCTGTAAGGTCGTGTGTCTTTCTTAAGTGCTATCACCACCTGTTCGTTGCTTGGATTCTTGTTTGCTTAGGGTATATAACTGCTTGGAGTATGCTTCAAGCGTTCTCACGCTGGCATTGATTTAAAGCCAACGATAGCTTTTAGCTTTGATATTGCATCGAGGACTTAATTATTCTGAACACCACCTTTCACACTATGCGCCATCTGATCAGAGACTGTTATTGTAATGCAGGTTGAGGTGTTACCATCAAGAGAGGAAGCAGAAAGCTTGAACCTTTCATACGCATCATCAACAACGTTGGAGAACGGAGAAACTTTGTGGGTTGGAGTGGCACGAGCGGACGGTGCCAAGTGTGAAAGGTGTTGGAATTACACTCCAGCTGTGGGAACTTTGGAAGGGCATCCCGGTTTATGTGAGCGTTGTTACGGCGTCATCTCCCAATATCCTGTTCAAAAGACCCATGTGGCCGTTTGAGGGCTTCGATTTTTTAGATGGTGCAGTTATTCTACCTCTAAATGTGTAGAGCTAGGTTTGATATCTGCATGATTATACTCATCTCAGGAACTGTCATGAAGTTGTCAACAATTTAAATCTGAATGAACCTCTGTTCATGTTTTGGTTTCCTAGTGCCTTCAAAGGGTTTTCTATTGCCATCAACTTGAGAGAAATTTGGACACCAGTCATAGCGTGGAGTGGAACTTGAAAGGAAGTGGTCTTTTTTTAGCGAGACTCACATCTAACATCTCACCGGTAAATGAATCGACTTTCAATGAAGACATTGACTTCTATGTCTTCAGATGAAAAGATTTCCAAGTTCGAAGAACTCAAGTTTGTTAGTTCATTGCCAAGCAGTATTTTGTGATGGCAATTTGCAACCTAGCAACTCTTTGTTTTCCAACATACACTATCCTTGAGTTTTTGAACGCACATTGCAATCTCAAGTTGTGCAAAATATTCGGATGGAAAACTACTTACTGCTTCTTCCTTAAATAAAAGCTCTTCCCCATCATCCACCTCTGAGCTAAGGAAAAAGAAACATCTACTTTAAGGATACTAAACATCCTCGAATGCTGCATATGTTTGGAAATTGGTATTTTACGACCACTTGAATGACCATTTCATTTTAAACCTATTCCCAATGAAGAGGGATGAGTTTTCAGTTTCCCATTGCGCTACTCATTGGATAGAAAGCTGAGCTGGCACCTTGGAGTCCTCTAACCAATTCCGTCATGGCCACGTTGGAATTCCCGCCACTACAGCCTGCGCCACTTGGCACGAATCTAGCGACCAATGATGGCATAAGATGGGGAGCAACCGACGATGCCATAAAGATATGCAAGAAGCAGTATTGTTTCTGGACTCTGGCATAGTTTCAGTGGATATTCTCCCAGTATGGCATGTTCTATTTATAAACGTGGAAAGAGGTTCTGATATTCCAATATCAAAATGATCACGTGATCAGGTTGCATTTTTAATTGAAGCCCAAAATTTGTATTTCCAGTTTTGGACTGTACCTGAATTTGTTTTCGAATTGCACCAAATAGTCGTTTAAGAAAGAGCACCATGTTCTGATGTACATTTTTAAATACGCTAAATATGCATCCATGCAAATCGTCTTCGGTGATTCCTGATTCTAACATTAGATTAATTAGTTCTCATATGGTTCGTCAGCTATATTACTTGAAGTGATCTTCTCCAAAAAGTTTTGAATTTTTATTGAAAACAAATTCTTTTATTGGATCTTTGAGTTACCAAGTAGTTATTTTCCATTTTATATTTCAGTTCCTTATTTTGATAATCAAAGAATAAAATATGAACATTTTTAATTTTTTGTATTTATATAGCACTCTAAAGTTAGAAAATTTTAAAATAATACAATTTTTCTACAGGAATGACATTTGTATTGGTAAAAATTTTAAAAGCCGAGAACTAGCATAAGCAACATTTGAAGGGATGGAGTGGCTATCATCAGAACAGCGTTTAGTCGCCTAATTTGGGAGAACAAATAAACAAAACATTCCATTACATCCGTCTTTCATTAGTCATTTGTTGGATAATTGAAAAGAAAGACACCTTAGTTCTGCATCACATCACAAACCAGCCCAGAATGTAATGTACAGAAAGCAGCATTCATCACTCGAGACATCACTGTATCTCAGTACCAGTACTTAGCAGCATTGTTATCAATATTATTTATTAAAGTCGGTAGAATCTGAAAGCCTGTATAGAAAAGGACCTATCCACACCTTTAGCGGAGCTTGCGAGCTGAGCGCCGGTTGATAAAAGAAAGGCTAATAGTGTCCCACCAATGCTCTTGTTCCGTGAAGCTGTAAGCAACGAATACTAGACAACAAAGACGGTGCTCTGTTTCGATTCAGGGGGACTACAGGCACCACCAGCAGCGAGCTTTTTCTAGTCTTTTTGTGGGCCGAAGGAAGCCCGCAAAGGTAGCGAAGACGGGCGGGCGGTGTCTGTGGGCACAGCTCTAAAGTGGGAGAGAAATTCTGAGTTGCAAGAGCTGTGCGGCACTTGTGCAGCAAGGATCCATGAAGTGAAGAGTTGGAGACAGAAATGGATAGTGGGTTCCTACACTCCCAGCCCAACTCTCCGGACTGTTGGGTACATCGCCGAAACGATTCTCTTGTTTCCCATCTTCCATCAGGACGCAATGATGGTTCTAGTCTGTTTAAGTATTTTGCTTTACGGGAAGCAAGTCTAGTTACATGCCAAGGAACCTGATACGCCTTCGCCGCTAAAGCAGCTGCCTCTCAAGGCGAGCCGATAAGATAAACTGAATCTGTTATGTAAAACTGAAAACTGTACTGAGGAAAATGAAGCGAAAAGATGCCCATGCACGAAGTTTGAACTTAAATAAAGGACGAGGGGGTTACTTTATGCAGGTCGAGGAAATTTGGGCTTGCAGGAACTGTAGTGATTCTGCGCACATGGCGAACGGCTGAGAAGAATCTGGCTAGGGAGCATCCCCACCTCTATTTCAAACCCGCAGGTTGACGCAAATGGAAAGTATGTGGGGGGGCTGAGGGACGAAGAATTTGCCAATCTTAAGGTTGCAAGATTAAAAAAGGACGGGCAGAATTTTGGGTGAAACATAAATAGGTGGAGGTAGGGGGCACAAGACATCACCCTGTGACCCGTCGAAGTAGGATTACAGCGCCATAGACGATCGACAAGTGGGAACCAAATGCAAGTTAGATAAAACAAGAATAGGTAGAGCAGAAAATGACTTTCGTAACTACGGAGGAAGTAGTGGGGGTGTCGCGCCTTACTAATTAAGTAGGGACTTTGATTAACCTCCGAGCCGGAATGCCGAACTTGGGTTTCAGCCTTTCCCTTTGCATTAAATCCGCTCCCTACAGTTTCTGGGCTGGTATTATGGGAAGCTCGGGAGAGCGCCGCGCAAAATACTTCCTATAAATCGTAAACGTGGAGATGTGTCAGGAGGGGGGTGCGGTGATTCTAACTGCTCTTGCTCGCCTTTGGAATGCATGGACTTCATGACATCCGCCCGAGATTTAAGGTGCGGAGTAGTGCGCAGCAATGAACGAAAGGTCGTTCAGCTTCCAGGTTCCAACAATAAAAACTGTTGAAGTGCTCCCGCCAGCGTCGGCACGCAGTGTGGACTTGCAATCGAATAGACCCGAAAAATAGGCAATGTAGGTGAGTTCTAGTGGCGATTTGTTTGATTTCACCCAACGCCGAGGAGAAAGGTTGTGCCTGATTCCTGGACTGAAATCGATCGTTGCAGAGGGACGTTGTAGGGCATCTCACTTTCAAGTTTCGACTGATGCGCCAAGCTTGTGGAATCGAACAGGTGCTTCGTACTGGAACCACTCATTGTTCTTAGCAAAAATTATCATGTCAGCACAAAGCAAGATAATTTTTGCTAAGAACAATGAGTGGTTCCAGTACACAACCTACAAGCGCTTTACTTCAATGCTAAGTCACCTGTGACTTGCATGCTTAGCGGAATAATAGTCCAGAAGTTACAAAGTAGACTCAGGCACATGACTACACTTCATTCTTCACAAATATCAAGATTTCAAATGCAATTGGTAATAGTGATTTCGTCAAATGAGAAACTGGGTTGTGCACTAATTCATGACATCTTTCAGTTGCGACGAGGTCTGCTTTGGAAACGCGACTGCAGGGAATCAACTTGGTCTGATGTTTAACAGTGCGACCTCTCACACGTCGACACGTCACAGGTAGTTATTTCAGAACCATCTGACCCTCCGATGGTGAATACTTCACCGAAATATATTAAAGCGTGAAATTAACAAAAGCTGCGCACTATAACCGTTACACGCTTCAGAGAACCTCCATTAATAGCGCGGCACACTCACGCTGCAATGTTAGTTGCGAGAATGTGAAAACTTCCTCCTCAAAGCACAAGTTAGCAGGGATTGAATAATGCCAAAAATTTGAACAATGTTGCTCTCGTATGCAACTTAGTCATGGCGACGGTAGGACCATACTTGCGACCTTTGTCCAGCATCCAAAGTAATAATCGTCATCGTGGGGTTGCTAGAAGCACGACACTGCAATATTCGCGACATGATCTGATGCTACATTGGAGCATTAAGTTCCAAATTCTTCGATGATCGACTGGGCTACAGACATTCCTTCACCGGCTTCACCAGTCATCCCCACAACGAGCCCCACGTTGGCCTAGACCGTGATTAGCGGTCCTCGTCTCCAGAGCACTAAAGCCACAGTCGCGACCATGAAACTGGAACACAACTGTGGCAACCTCAGCAGTTCAGAGGATCTAGTCGGAAAGCGGAGGCAAGGCGAGTGCAATGTATATAGGGGCATTCTATCCATGCTCAGTCGACACACGTGCCAAGATTTGTCTTCACCCGATGCAGCTGCGAACTTATTGGATGCATGCCGGCATCGCTGCGGGGCACCGGAGCATCTTCTATGCGCCTGCTTGTCATCGCGTGCCACCTCACTGATGCAGAAAAAACCCTCCATCCCTGCCGCAGTTGACTTGGTTAGACCCAGAGCCCTTGTTCCACCATACTCATTGGACCCAGCTTCTCACTCGCCAGATTCCACACCTGCAAGGCCCTTCCTCACTGGCAGCAATGAATCCCTCTCAGGCCCTGGTATACAATACAACAAGTCGTACTCAAGGTTCCATATTCCTCTATGATTCATGCAGGGACTCATATTCGTCTGTATCTTGTGACGACAATAGTCATGAAAAAGTAGATTGCACTCAACCTTCGCCACCATACACAACAAGACAAATCCCTCAGAAGCTGACAAACTCCATCACCCACCGCGGTGGACAAGCTCCGAGCTGGCAACAACTGTTTCAATTGGAGGCTGGCTCCTCAAAGATCCCATTTGGGGGTTAATAGCAGTCCCCTCCTACAACAGGTCAAACGTCCAGACCCATACACTTGCCGAGAGGGATTATTCTTCTTTCTCTCCCCACCCACCCATCCCCATTGTCTATCCCGCCTTGTGCCATCTCCACATTCGGATGCCGAGTATTCCCTCACATTTACCGCCTGCTCGCAGTTCTCCCTCGCTGACTTTTGCGCCTCGTTAACTGCTCTCAAAACTTACCCACTTTGGTTGGTTTTAATTGAACAGATAAAATGTTATTAAGTTCATGACT